TTTGGACACACAGAACAATCGTGAACAGACGTCTTCGTTGTCACTTGTATTGAGGAAATCATTGGACAGAGAGCAAATTCAGGAGCATAACTTAGTATTGACAGCCACTGATGGGGGTAAACCGGAGCTGACCGGCACAGTTCAGTTGCTGATTACAATTCTGGATGTGAACGACAATGCCCCAGAATTTGACCAGTATATTTATAAAGTAACAGTATTAGAGAATGCATTTAATGGAACATTAGTGATCAAGCTGAATGCCACAGATCTTGATGATGGTACGAATGGAGACATAATCTACTCATTTAGAAGGCCTGTATCGCCTGCGGTGTTATATGCATTTATCATAAACCCCAACAGTGGGGAAATTAGAACAAGAGGTAAACTAGATTTCGAAGAAAAGAAGTTGTATGAAATATCGGTGGAAGCAACAGACAAGGGGAATATTCCAATGGCAGGTCACTGTACCGTTTTCGTGGAAATACTAGATATAAATGATAATACCCCAGAAATTACCATAACTTCTCTGTCACTTCCGGTGCGAGAGGATGCTCAGGTGGGCACCGTCATCGCCCTGATCAGCGTGTCTGACCGTGACTCTGGAGTCAACGGGCAGGTGACCTGCTCACTAACACCCCGTGTCCCCTTCAAGCTGGTGTCCACCTTCAAGAACTACTATTCGCTGGTGCTGGACAGCGCCTTGGATCGCGAGAGCGTGTCGAACTATGAGCTGGTGGTGACAGCACGGGACGCGGGCTCGCCTCCGCTCTCCGCCACGGCCAGCGTGTCCGTGGAAGTGGCGGACGTGAACGACAACGCGCCGGCGTTCGCGCAGCCCGAGTACACGGTGTTCGTGAAGGAGAACAACCCGCCCGGCTGCCACATCTTCACGGTGTCGGCGCGGGACGCGGACGCGCAGGAGAACGCGCTGGTGTCCTACTCGCTGGTGGAGCGGCGCGTGGGCGAGCGCGCGCTGTCGAGCTACGTGTCGGTGCACGCGGAGAGCGGCAAGGTGTACGCGCTGCAGCCGCTGGACCACGAGGAGCTGGAGCTGCTGCAGTTCCAAGTGAGCGCGCGCGACGCGGGCGTGCCTCCGCTGGGCAGCAACGTGACGCTGCAGGTGTTCGTGCTGGACGAGAACGACAACGCGCCCGCGCTGCTGCCGCGGCCCGGCGCGGGCGGCGGGGGCGGCGCGCTGAGCGAGCTGGTGTCGCGGTCGGTGGGCGCGGGCCACGTGGTGGCGAAGGTGCGCGCGGTGGACGCGGATTCCGGCTACAACGCGTGGCTGTCGTTCGAGCTGCAGCCGGCGGCGGGGGGCGCGCGCAGCCCGTTCCGCGTGGCGCTGTACACGGGCGAGATCAGCACGACGCGCCCCCTGGACGAGGCGGACCCGCCGCGCCAGCGCCTGCTGGTGCTGGTCAAGGACCACGGCGAGCCGGCGCTGACGGCCACGGCCACCGTGCTGCTGTCGCTGGTGGAGAGCGGCCAGGCGCCAAAGGCGTCGTCGCGGGTGTTGGCGGGCGCCGCTGGCGCCGAGACGGCGCTGGTGGACGTCAACGTGTACCTGATCGTCGCCATCTGCGCGGTGTCCAGCCTGCTGGTGCTCACGCTGCTGCTGTACACGGCGCTGCGGTGCTCGGCTCCGCCCAGGGAGGGCGCGTGCGGGCCTGGGAAGCCCACGCTCGTGTGCTCCAGCGCGGTGGGGAGCTGGTCGTACTCGCAGCAGAGGCGGCAGAGGGTGTGCTCTGGGGAGGGCGCGCCCAAGACCGACCTCATGGCCTTCAGCCCCAGCCTTCCACCTGGTCTGGATAAAGAAGTTGGAGAGGAAAGGCAGGAGGCAGGATCAAATTACCCTGGGCAGGTGAGTCCTACAGATTCCTCTTATTTTGAAGTCTGTGTTAAATTTTTAAAAATCCACTTGACTTCATAGAAAAACGTAATGAATATTCTGTATTTTGAGTATTAATGTTTTAAACGAGTATAAATGTTTTGGAGAACAATTTCTGTCAAATGCCAACTGATAAAAAATCCAATTTTAATCATGCGATAAATCGTATATATATACATATACATATACATATACATGTACATGTACATATACATATACACGTATATATACATATACATATACACGTATATATACATATACATATACATATTTTTTTTTGCCAATAAATGCCCTACTTCTCCAAATGTTTTGGTAGAAAATGGTAAAGGAAGATGCAAAAATGACTCTCCTATCAGCACTTTATTAGATATAATTTATAATTTTCAGTGATGTACTTAGACCACTTATTTCATCTCTAAACCTCAGTACTGTAGATAATTCCTGTGGTTATTTCCATTTGTTCGTCCTCTTGGTCTTTTAACACTACCTTTTGCTTTAATATTTTCACATTATTAGATAGCTTGACTTTTTTCACTTCAGGCTTGTATCAAAGATTGAGCACTCTCTTCGTTAAGTCTGAAAAGATTTACCTTTTTTGTAGAGTTAAACATGGGTCATACATTTATTTTCATTAAATAATCTTTAGTTATGCCTCGACTAATAAGATAAAACCTATTTTCTTATTATTTGCAGTTAAAAATTCAGTCTTGCGTTATTGTTTGGTGGTTTCATTGAAATAATAGAACTTAAAAGTTCTGTCGATTTATTTTATTGCATGTACTGGGTACAGATTTATCTACAACATAGTCAAATAGAACTCCCAGATTTATGCTTACAAAGTTTACTAGGCAAATAAAGTTATTCATATCACTCCACCACGTCTTCCAACTTGCTGAAGACATGCATCTAGAAGATGCATCTAGAAGACATGCGTTATAATATTTGCAATATATGCTGGTTGGCAGTCTGCCCTACATTTTGTGGATTCATCCAGAAAGGAAAATGTTAAGTGTAGTAAAGTAAAATGTAAATTTTCATTTTTGCTCATCTGGCAATTTAAATTTCTTGTCTTTAAAAGCTTTATCTCTGAGGTTTGTGAGATTTTCTTTTCATGTGCTATAATCACTTCTGATGATTCTACCAAAGGTCATTTACCTTAGGTCATTCTTCTAATCAGTGATCCTTAGGTATATGTAGAGTGGCAGAGTAACTGATTTCTTTGAGAACTTGATAAAATTCATATGTGTATGCTCCGCTTTAGCTTTAGGGGCTAAAATTTCTTTATTCTGTAGTAGGCAACCAAATTAAAGCACAAAATGTTTCAGACTTGAAAGATTAAGCCATCATATCATTTATGAAACTGTAAATGTATTAATGTGAATGTTAGGTAGGGGACACATCATTATCCATCTTCAGATGAAGTTTTTGGAATGACTCAGTGTCATCTAAATTTAATAAAGATATTGGAATATCTTAAGTACATGTTAAATTTTTGCAAATTGTTAGTTTTACAGTATACAAGTAGTCAATGTACATTTTTAGATAATTCCGAATTATATGGGCTATTTTCTACAAATTTTGTGTCTCTCCTGCTTATTCTTAATTTCAGAATTACATTCAATGGTGTAAAATTATAATTTTAATATAATTTCCATCTTCTAGTTCAATTAAGTATTAAGCTAATTTTAGATGTTCTTATCTCTTTAGTAATTTAATTATGTCTAACAGTGTGTGAGGACTACATAACTAACATACTACTTTTTCAATAAAGTTTCTAAGCAACCATTGTACATTGACTTTTTTTGAAAGTGGAAGATAGAAAACGAAGGAGCAGGGTAGTGGTATTAGACAATTTAAATAGCCCAACAGCATAAACATTCAATTTTTTTGATTACTTAAGAACCAGTTTTATAGTTGATTTAAGTTATCTTTTACTTGCGGAATGATTATTGATTATTACTTTCTGGTTTTATAAAGATTTCTTATCTTACTTCCCTTCGTTATTATATGTAAAAGGAATGGTGACAAATTATTGGCTTAAAGATTTTGACTTGAATTTTAATGAGCTTATAAATTTTGTATTTGTTTACGATTAGCTGTGGAATCTTATCTGCATTTTGTTTTCCCTTAAAGCTGATCTTGAATTAATTAATAAAATTATGAAAAGTCCTTTGATTCTCCCTTGCATCATAGTCACCATTCTGATTTAGTTTTCTTCTTTTTTTTTTCTATTCTGATTTTCTGAAGAGAAGCAGATTTTGAGTGACTACTAACTGGCCTGAAGGGCACATTTAAAGGGAAACCAAAAATTCATTATGAAGTTTATATTCATTTGATTTTAGTTAGAGAGACTGGGCTCCAAAACATCTCACAGATGTTTTTCATATTAGGGCTCCACAGCCACTTTAGAATACTGTGAAATTTGGAAGCTTTGATTCAACATATTACATGAAAATGCTTTCCTCCTGCTAGAGTGAAACTTCACAGGATCTGTACCCAAGCTTCATTTTAATATGTTATGGGAATAAGAGCAGTTGTATGAAAAGTCATCGCATTTGAGCATCAAGGAACCAAAACGACGTGTTCCATATTTATGATGAATTTTTATATCCAATGGAAGTATGAATAAAATAATTTATATGAATGAAATATTTAGCTAGAAATACTTTAGTTTCTTCTTCTTTTTTTTTATTAAGTGCAGGAATTCTTGGGTTTCTCCTAAAGTCTTACAATGAAGTGCTTGTGAAGGATAAAAGTCATTACAAGTGAGAATTGTAAGCAAAATAAGGCCAAGGGTGATGTATATTATTCTTTATTTTATTCTCCATGATAGGCAAAGAGTTGCTTCTGACATTCTGTATTTCAATGATTATGATAGACTTTGAAGCAGAATATTTTAAAAACTGCAGTATAATAGAAATGGCTGTGCTTTATTACTAATATCTTATACATTAAAAAAATAAGCATTTACAAAAAATCCATGAAAACATCCAAAGGTCAAAAAATTTAATGTGTCCCAGGAAGTGGCTAAACCAAAAAGAACCTGACGATCTGTCTTGTACTTACATAATCAGTCACATGATGTCGCTGTACACTCAGAAGGTGAAAAGGAAAAATTTTGTCTCCGAGCCCAGATTCCAACCATTGACAGAATAGGATCGACTCCATATTGACCGGAATGCTGGGTAAATTTTACTCTATCTACACCTACAGGAAGGGAGACTGCTCACAAAGGTTCGCAGGTGAGCGATCCTTTAAAACCAACAGTCCCACCTCGGAGATCTTGTTAACTACAATGGTGTTTTCCTGGAGAGGAGGCCCAGGAGCCCCGCGACTGCTGCTGTCGCTTCTGCTCCTTGCAGCGGGGGAACCCGGGAGCTGCCAGGTCCACTACTCGGTCCCGGAAGAGGCCAAACACGGCACCTTCGTGGGCCGCATCGCACAAGACCTAGGGCTGGAGCTGGCGGAGCTGGTGCCACGCCTGTTCCGGGTGGCGTCCAAAGGACACCGGGACCTTCTGGAGGTAAATCTGCAGAACGGCATTTTGTTTGTGAATTCTCGAATCGACCGGGAGGAGCTGTGCGGGCGGAGCGCGGAGTGCAGCATCCACCTGGAGGTGATCGTGGACAGGCCGCTACAGGTTTTCCATGTGGAGGTGGAGGTGAAGGACATTAACGATAACCCACCCGTGTTCAGAGAAGAAGAGCAAAAGGTACTGATTTCTGAATCTGCCCGGTTGGATTCTCATTTTCCTCTAGAGGGCGCTTCCGATGCGGATATCGGTGTAAACTCTCTTCTGACCTATAGGTTAGGTCTAAATGAGTATTTTACTCTTAAAATAATAACGAAAAACGACAAAAGTATATTGCCTGAACTAGTTCTACGGAAGTCTTTGGATAGAGAGGAAACTCCAGAACTTAATATATTGCTGACCTCCCAGGATGGGGGTAAGCCCGAGCTAACAGGATCTGTTCAGATTAAAATAAGCATTTTGGATGTGAATGATAACGCTCCAGAGTTTGATAAGCCTGGCTATAAAGTAGTGCTGTTTGAAAATGTCCCAAACGGCACGAGAGTGATTCAGCTAAACGCTTCTGATCCAGACGAAGGGGTGAATAGAGAAATTTCCTATGGAATCAGACTGATTTTGCCAGTGAGTGAGAAATGCATGTTTTCAATAAATCCAGAAACAGGTGAAATCAGAATTTACGGGAAATTGGATTTCGAAGAGAATAATGAGTATGAAATTCAAGTTAACGCCATTGATAAAGGGATTCCTTCCATGGCAGGTCATTGTACAGTCCTAGTGGAAGTTCTGGATCTGAATGACAATAACCCTGAGATAATGATCACTTCGCTGTCGCTCCCAATGCTAGAGGATGCTCAGGTGGGCACCGTCATCGCCCTGATCAGCGCGTCCGACCATGACTCTGGTGACAATGGGCAGGTGACCTGTTCATTAACACCCCACGTTCCCTTCAAGCTGGTGTCCACTTTCAAGAACTACTATTCGCTGGTGCTGGACAGCGCCTTGGATCGCGA